AGTGCCAGCAGTGCAGGGCCGCATCCAGGAGGTACGAGGGGGTAGGAGACTGCCGACATACAGCTGGTACCTAAGCTATATCTTACTTAAGTGGCTTGCTGCGTGCACGTTTTGAAGATCACAAGTCCAAGGAGAACTTCCTTACTTCACTTAGAAACAGTGCTCACAAGTGGAAGTTGCTACCCTTGTGCACGCCCTCCCCCCTCTCCCCCCCCCAAAAAAAAAGTAGTTAGGAGATTGAGAAGGATGCTCATGAATATGTTTTCATTGAACATGAGCCAGCAATGTACCCTTGTGGCCAAGAAGGCCAATGGTATTCGGGGTGCATTAGGCAGAGTGTTGCCAGCAGGTGGAGGGAGGTGATCCTGCCCCTCTCCTCAGCCCTGGGGAGGCCTCACCTGGAGTCCTGTGTCCAATTCTGGGCTCCCCAGTACAAGAGAGATATGCCACTACTGGAGAAAGTACAGCAGAGGGCTACAAAGAGCTGGAACATCTCTCCTATGAAGAGAGGCCATCTCATCAATATGTACAAGTATCTGAAGGGGGGGTGCCGAAAGGATGGGGCCAGGCTCTTTTCTGTGGTGCCCAGCGACAGGACAAGAGGCAATGGCCATAAACTGAACTGCAGGAAGTTCCATCTGAACATGAGGAAAAACTTCTTCACTGTGAGGGTGACTGAGCCCTGGACCAGGTTGCCCAGAGAGGTAGTAGAGTCTCCTTTGCTGGAGATATTCAAAACCCGACTGGATGTGACCCTGGGAAATATGCTGTAGAGGACCCTGCTTGAGCAGGGAGGTTGGACTAGATGATCTCCAGAGGTCCCTTCGAACCTAAACCATTCTGTGATATTCAGGGCTTTGAAGTGGCCAGTCACTCAGCATCCCTTTAATGTTAAGGAGATGTTCAGCACATTTGCAGTAGGAATGGACGTGTACTTCAATATGCTAAATGTTTTTTTTTTTTGTTTGCAAATCTCCCTTGCATATAAAGTTATTTACCCAGCTTTCACAAGTATGTTAAGATTTGTTAGAATTGGACTAAGGAATAATTTTTCCATGTATTATGGCTCCAGATAGAACAGTCATCAGAGCTTAACTTTTCTTCTCTCTACTTACTGTGGCAGTAAATAGTAGAAGGCTTTCTTTTAAAGATGAGACTGTAAACTGCAGCGTTAGCATTGCAATGATTTATGTAGAAAATTGCTTTAGCGCTGTCAGAGGCCTTCAGAGAATAATGTAGCAGTCTTTCATATTAAAAAAAAAGCAGAAAAAGTCGAGAAATAAACTACAGCAAGATCTCTGTCTGAAACCTGGTTATCAGGAAGCTGGTTCTCCCTACTGAGCAGTTCCCAAGTCTGGTAGAAATACAGGTATTTGTGTCCCAGAAAGCCCTGGATCTTTGGGCAAATGATCATTTTCTTGTAATCTGCTTGAATCCCAAATTCTTCTGGGCTAGCTTTCTGTATCTCTGAAAGGTTTCAAAATGGTGCCCAAAGGGGGTTTGCACAATTAAGGCTATATTTGCCTAGAAGCTTAGTGATTTCTTCAAAAGAAGACATCCGAGTTGTCCTTGTTCTG